CGCTTAAGTCATGACGAGTAACCCCCCCCCCTTACACACACACACACACACACACACACACACACACACACACACACACACACACACACACACACACTCTTGGAACAGTTCAACTAGTGAGCGGTTAAATTTAGAAAACATTTCAAAACCCTCACACACTCGTTTGGACCGGTGGACAAATGTATTTGGACAGAACGCAGCGAGCGTTAAAAAACCGCGCACGTCGGATTTGACTTCTTAACCATTGTCAATGCACTTCAGTGCACTGAGCATGGGCTCGGTGCATGTTCGCGTGGGCATGTTCCCAATGTTGACTTTGTGACCCCTGAACAAGATATTTGGGTACCAGAGAAGTCATGTACTCTATGCGGTGCGATCCTTCCACGACAAGGAACGCGACGGCGGCCGCCACCGTGCGCTCGGGGTCTGGGCTCAACTTTTTCAATCAAAGACATATCAAAACAAACACAAAAAAACGGTCAAGTGACGGGTCGTATCAGAAAAGACGCCAAAGTCCAGGCACTCGAACCTCGAGGCAGAATTTCCTTGGTATTTTTGAGTAACACTTTTTTTTATTATATCGCGTGAGTCATGTCATCTGTGTGTGTCAGTGGTATGTTTGCCGTTTCTAGTTTCATAGAACTTTTGGACTCTTTTCCGAATTTTCTTTTGTAGGTACTGCGAATGGGGACGATCCTCAAGTAGAAACGGGACGTCAGGTAAAGTGACGATGTCAAACTGTCTTGGGAGTTTTAGCCTGCGTGTCGCCATGAGGTGAGCAGAGTTTTCCAAAACATGCCTTCGCGCACAAGAGAACACCGAAGGCCATAAACTGTATAGCAAACGAGCACAAATGACAATGCCTCGGCCAGCAGCAAGCGCTGAAATGCTAGCCGATCGCTGGCCGGGCTAGCTTGGCATGCTAGTTTTCAAGGTAACGTGACGAAACACGAACATGATGAAACAAAAATCTAACGTTTACCCGTTTTGTCCCGCTTCAGCGCTCGCTCCACTTGTCCTAGTTGGGGAGGTTGTTTTGGCGCCTGTTTGAGTCCCGACTGAAGAAAGAGTGCTTGTTTAGGTTCTTGTTGAGGCTCATTTGGACCACAACACAACAGTCAGGTTTGGCCACGCCTACCGCGCTACGGCGTTTCAGCTCAACCAAAAATTCTCCAAACGCGAAGTCATCACATAAAAAGGTCACCGGTTTTTGCAAAGATTGTTGCTGTCCTGAATTATTGCTGCCGCACTAGAAAAAAATATTAATCATTAATAATAGTATCACACTCTAGCGGTATGACTTTCACCTTAAAAGTCGTACGTTTCACGATGTGACAAACCCCACGTTACAAAGTGATCAGTGTCACGTTTCAACGTCTTAGACAGTTATGTTGAAATGGGATAGGTTTCACTTCCGCATTCGGCAAAACAACATTAAGGAGTTCGTTCCGGTTCAGATCACTGGTAAAGTCATTTTTATGTCTTGTAAATCCAAGTCACTAGCTACGTAATATTGCTGCTCTTCTTGTAAAATTCCTGTGCACTATTCCGAGAGTGGTGAGTTGAGGGCGGGCGCTCCCTTTCCATTCATTTGTGAACGCATCCCATGCTCTCAAGCAATCAGCATGTCATACTTGAATAGTTTAAATCTGGACTGCTTGGCCCACTGGTATCCCCAGTTGGAGTGTTTTGTTGCATGTAGATTTTTTTTAAATAAATAAAGCTAACGACAAGCATAAGTAGAAGGTGTGATCTGTCACATGATTTTTATTATTACAGTCAAAACTAAACTGTTTCATAACTTCACAGTGTTTATTAGAAAAAAAACATGCCAGATCTTCAACACTCACAATTCCCTAATAACATATTCATATCAATTGATTTTGAACTGATTTGCAGGTAGATTTATAAAAATATATTAATAAAAAGCCATTGATTTTCCTCTTGAAACACGTCACGTAGTTGTCGCTCCGTCGACGTTGACACCAGAGTTCAGTGCAAAGTGGGCCGGGGCACGCTGGACGGCTTCGTGCGATTGGACGGCAGCGGTGGCGCCCCCCTATGCCATGTAGGGATACTTCCACTGTGTGAGTGGGACGTGAGTTTCCTTGACTACCTGCGGAGACGTCCAGCGGAGGACGTAATGTGGGCCACCCGGTTTGTCGTTGGTGCCTGACAAACGCAAAAATAAATAAAATAAAATAAAATAAAAGTTGGCTTACCCCTTCCTCTATTATAGTGCACCTGCAGATGAGATGTGGTGGTGCCTTGATGGCTTATAAAGCCTGCCTATTGAACCTGGGCTGTAATGTGTGCTCAATCTGTTACTTCAAGATTGTAGCACTGCAACATAGATGTGAATTAGCATGAAGCAAGTGGACGGAATGGCTAAACCACATGGCTGTTTGAAATACACAGTTCAATTGTCTTTGCTTTATATTGACTGTTTGGAGTAAACTCCAACCAGGAGTGTCACTCAACAGTTTAAAACCTCATTTTGGTACAATTGTTCCCTATCTGCCAAAGGGCTGCTCTTTGTGAAATGAGTTGACTGTCAAAATACAGCATTGTAATAAATAAAGTGTTCTGTCAGCGGCTGGTATGTAGAAAAACCTATCCGTATGTCAAGGCGCCACTGTCTAGGTGTTGGTTCTGACCTGATGCTCTTGCGCCCCCAAATGGCTGTTGCGCCACAACGGAGCCCGTCGACTTGTCGTTGATGTAAAAATTCCCTGCGGCATTCCTCAGGATTTTGGACGCCTCGTCCACCACGCTCCTGAAAAAGGTCACGCGACACCAATCAAAAGACAACAGGCCATGCATCGCACGTTGGTGTTTGGCCACACCCCCAGGCAGGCGCAGTCTTACCTGTCCAGAGCAAAGACGGCGCCGGTAAGCGCGTAAGGGGACGTACGGTCCACCAAACTGAGAACGTCCTTGTAGTCATCATCCGGGTACACGTACACGGACAGAACCGGACCGAAAATCTCCTGCAAGACAAACACGGCGACCACCCGACACAAAATCAGAGGAGACATTCACACCATTCATTTTCATTTCAAAGAACAAGTGCAATTTTCAGCCACGTAAACACATCTTGCATTTTCTTGTGCGCTCGGTTCGGGATTTTGTCATTGCCCTGTAACCTTTGTGAGGATAAAGCGGATCAGAAAATGGATGGATGGAGGATGTCTGCTTTCATTTCATTACAACTTTTCAACTTGCAATTTTGCAAACTGTAAAAATATTTAATAGCAACAGTTACAGCCGTGATGAGTGACGCAAGGCTCATCTTCATGTGTTTGTCTGGCTGTGAGTTGTGGCCTACAGCAGCTCCTTTTATTTGCATTTATTTCAGAAACAATGAGCGGGGCTCACATGCAGGGCATTTCCTAACTCAAACTTTGACTCACAACACAAAGAGCAAAAGTCGAGCAGACAGAGAGGAAGTAGTGCATGTGACCTGGGCCATGATGGGATGTTGGGGGTCTTTAGTGGTGATGATGGTGGGCTCCACAAAGTACCCCTTGGAGTCGTCGCAGTTGCCCCCAGCGATGACCTCCAGCTCGGGGGATGATTTGGCGTCATCCAAATACTTCTTGATACGGCTGAACGACTGACAGTGAACATTCACGGCAAGACGTCAGCGCGTGCGTTGGAGTGTGTGTGCATGCGTGCGTGCCACAGCAAGGCCCCACCTTGTCGTCGATGACGGCCGAGAAGAAGGCGCCCAAGTCTTCCACAGGCTGAAAGACAAGAACAAACCACGTTTCATTTTCATGCAGGCAAAAGAATTATTCAAACGTTTTTTGAAAAAGAAGAATTAATTTCACCTGTCCCTGCCTCCCCAAAAATATCCCCGCCCCCATTTATTCAATATTTTATTATTATGGTTGTAAAGACTTGAGAGTACGGTAGTAGAAATATGACAAAGCTGTTAAAAAAAAAAGTCTTGAGTGTCTACAAGACCCAGAAAACCCGGAACACCCAATCAGAGTCAAAAGACATGCCTAACGAGGTGTCAATCATTTGTTTCTTGTCGCAAGGTACGAGATCGCAGGTCAGCACGAGGCTGCCAGAGTCTGGCCACAAGTGCAAGATAAAAGTGACTTTCTGTCTCTGATTAGTTGTTTTTCCTTGGGCACGGGGCTTCTAAAAGAAATGCAGCACAACATGCTAACATGTCAGCATTCTACTTCCTATCAGCGAACATCATTTTCATAGCATGGTTGCTTAAGTTGCATGTTACTAATGCACGGTCATATTGACCGCTTTCAGAACTACAAGAAAGGGTAATTTTTTCATGTATATGAACTGCAATTCATGTATGAGGGCTCTGTATGTCAAGTGCCTTCCGATAACTTGATTGTGAATTGGCGCTGTGGGAAAAAAAATGGAAACGGAAATGCTGGGAGGGCCGCATGTGAGCGGCGGGGCATACTTTAGTCAGCCTGAACCCTGCTGGAGAAGCTTTGAGGAGAGGAAAAATAAAAAAGAGGAACTGACATCTCCCACGCGTATTTGCTTGACAGCGTCGAGCAGCTGCTGCTTGACGTCGGGCCACAGGCCGGCGGGCACGTACATCCTGGAGCAGGCCGAACACTTCTGGCCCCCGTACTCGAAGGCCGAGCGCACCGTTCCGTTCACCACGCTGCGCACGTTCGCAGATTTGTGCACAAAGTGGAAATTCTTGCCGCCGCACTCTGACAGGACAAGGAGGAAGAGGTGAGACGGGAGATTTCTGCTGCCGCCGCCAGCACATACGGTCGGTCCTCACCTCCGGCCAGCCTGGGGAAGGTCTTGTACATGTCCAGGTTGTGGGCCACCTGCTTCCACAGGTGCTTGAAGGTCCTGCGTGCAAATAAGAAAAAATGGTCACATGGGACTTTTTTTTTTTTTTTTTTATATCGAGATAAATCAGAAGAAGGAAAACCAGGACAAAATTTGTACTCCCCCGCCTCCCCCCCAAAAAAAACATGTAAAGCTGACTCAGCTGAATTCCAAAGTCAACGTGGAAAGCGGCTTTGAAAGAAGTGCTTACGGGACACTGCCAGTGAAATTGATTCCTGCCAGGTGCTCGGAGGATGTTACGGCGTCTCCAAAGACAGGACCGTCAGCCGGCAGGAACTGGATGATGTTGGGCGGGAGGCCACACTCACGCAGGATCCGGTAGACAGCGTAGCTCGCTGACATGGCCGTGTCGCTGGGTTTCCACAGGACCACGTTACCCTGAATGCCACGCACGTGCACAAATGACTTTTTGCAAGGTGCGCCAGGAAAACCTTTCCCTGTCTCACTCACCATCACGGCCGGCGTTGCTGCCAAATTCCCACCAATGGCGGTGAAGTTGAAAGGAGACACGGCGGCCACGAAGCCCTGATGGTAGAATGGGGGGGGGGTGTTGTGACTCTCCTGAATGAAAAAAGGAGGGAAAGAGGCGCTCATGTGTTACCTCAAGGCCACGGTAGATGGCGGTGTTGGTGCTGCCCTCAACGTCCATCGGTTGCGCCGCCTCCAGCTCCACGGCGTGTTTGGCGTTGAAGCGGAAGAAGTCGATGAGCTCAGCGGCAGCGTCGATCTCCGCCTGGATTACCGTTTTGCCCTGGGAGCCCGCAGCGCCAGGTCTTAACATCTTAGCGGCGGCAGCTAAAGCTAATGTGAGCCGCTACCTGTCCGATCATGGTCTTAGCGAGTACTTCGCCTCGTTTGGGTCCGCTGATGACATCCGCCGCCTTGAAAAGGACCGCCGCTCGGTCCTGGACGGGTTTCAGGTCCCACTCGCGCCGGGCTGCCACCGACGCCGCAATGGCTTTGTGGATAAGGTCCTGCAAGCACGCACCTCAATTTCATATCCACTTTTTGGATGTGCAGCATAATAGGGGTTTCTCAAACTTTGAAAATGACTAGTCGTCATTTGCTGATTGAGAACCAGTGGCGCAGATTGTCACCTTGTCAGCATAGCAGAACTTGGAGACTTTGTGTGCGTGGTTGAACGGCTTGAATAGAGAAAAGATGTGACAGCTCAAGAAATGATTCCACTAGTCACAGATTACAAGGCGTGGACTCACAGACAGTTGGTATCGGATATCACCGGTCCAAATGTGTTCATCGCCAACCACGCAAGGAATCTCCTCCGTGCTCGACTTCACCTGCTCCAGTGCCTGACCACGCGTGTACACAGAAAAAAAAGAGACATTACATTGCATTGACCAATTTATGGCTTGCATGCAGAAGGTCCGGCAAAAAAGCAGACCTGCAGGAGCTGTTGTCTTTCGGGACTCCCACTTTTGAAGTCGAGGACGGGCTCATTCCTCACCGACACGCTGGCGCACCAGGCCGAACCCTTCAAACTGAAAGCACAATACAAGCTTGGCTTACACTCACACTGCAGCTCAATTCCCACTTTTGTGCCCACAGGTTACATGGCGCATTTGGATGTGGATCAACAACACGCACTCGCGTGTTGACCTGAGGCTTGTGGGCACAACAGCTTCATATTGATTGATTCATGATTCCCATTCAGCATGTTTGTTTGAACAGAATGCTTATCTTATTAGGAATACAAACTGAGATGTTTCCTGTTCCTGTTTTTCTTGTGTTTCCCGTTGACTGGCATCCACCTCTGCCGAATTAAAACAGACTCCTGAAAACTGTTAGGTGAGCAGCTTTGCACAAAGCTGCATGTCCTTTTGAAGCGCGACTGCAAAATTGCGCGCACCAAATCTGAGTTATCCGTAACCTTAAAAGAAGAAGCCCAGACCCGCAAATGAACGATTGTCTTGCAACTGCAAATGGGTCCAACAAGATGAACTTCTGAACCTACTTAAGCACTATTTGGAAAACCACAATGTAAGCTTGGTTATTTGATAACATGATTGTTAATTTAACTTTTTCCATTACTCTTGAACAGAGCTCCGACATGTTTTAATTCTGTATTTTTAGTATGTAAAAGAGCAAACAATGCAAAATAAAACACATTTGGTACGACCGAGTAAAAGCGCTGGTTTGTTCAAGCAATTGGAGCAAAAACAAAAAACAAAAAAAAAAACAAAAAACAGATAGGATATCTAAATGATAATAGTGACGTCTGAAGGTGTTCGAAAAAAGTGCACATTTCTCCAGGCGTCAACGCTGACTTCATGTACTGTTTAACTTATTAACTTGCCCGTCAAACACAGCTGAAGGTCAGCAAACAACAGGGAAACACAGCACGGCCACCACGCATGGAGGAAAAACAGCAGCGCACTCGACGTCAAAATATTATCCCAACTGTGAATCATGACAGTGAGAACATCATAGGATGGAGTGCTTTGCTACATAAGGGCCTGGACAACTTGCGATCATCAACTGGAAAATTAATCCACAAGTTTCCTGTCAAGACATTTTGCACAGGAAATGGATACCTTCCGTCATACAGTTCAAACTCAAAAGACGACAACTGTCGGAACTGGACAGTCACTCTAATCAGCAATTCGGAAGATGGGTCCAGAATGGCCCGGTCAAGGGCCTGACCTCAACCTCATTCTGGAGATTCTGCAGCTGCATGACTTCAAGCCAGCCAAAAACAGCAGAAGAATCTTGCTGAACTGCAATGGCCCAAAAATCATTGTGATGACACGTCTTATCTAAGATAACACAAAATGTTTACTGCCGAAAAAGATGCAAGACCACTTATTCGCTGGATCGTCTCACATGGTTTCTTGTGTGTCTGAGTGAAATGTGGAACATTAACTTATGTCAAAGAATGTACGTGATGGAACAGCGCACGCGCGCGCACAGACACACGCACACACACACGCACGCACCATCTTAGTAATTAACTTAGCTGCTAAGCACTCTTGGACCTTGGCAAAACACTCACTCACAAAAAAACAGGTGGACGGACAGACCGGGAGGCAGACAGACATCATAGACGCGCGCGCGAGCATACACGCAGAATAAAGACTGACATAAACTGCGAGGTTAACCATGTTGGCTGCCATGTTCGCACGAAGCCACATTGTGGGCGGGGCTTTAGCATTAGCGTTAGCTGGATGACTTCCAGCCGAGGTGACCGAGTCGAATTGTTTTTGTCTGGCCGTCAACTTATGCTGCTTCTTGCTTGCCTGTGCGGGACACGAGTAAACTCACCCGCGCCATGAGGGCCGCCTGGCCGCCGCCGCAGCTGCTGTCGTTGCTACTGTTGTCACTCTAAGCATGCTTCCAGCAGCAGCACGAGTACAAGAGTGACGCAGTAGCGGCAACATCAGCAGCAACACCCACCTTCCGTCCGGTACCGCCTCCAAACAGCTGACGTACGGCTCCTCTTTATTTATACAACGAAGGACGACAAAAAATGGCACCAATCAGACGACACAACTGGCTGGTACTGCCAACTGATTGGCTGAGTCACAGCCCGGCCCTCTGCCAGTCAATTATTTATGCTCATCCGAACACAAAACAATCTTCCCTCATCAATTCGCTGGCGTTTGATCCCGTTCTCACTTCTCACGGATTTTGGTTGGACAGGCGGATGCTTAACATGACCACAACACACGCACACAGCGTGACCATGTCGATGACCACGTGGTGTCGCTGTCGTCTGCACTATACTGTACTTAGTGGACGCTATCTGGTTTGTCGGACCCAAACAAGATGAAGACAAAAACGTTACTCTTCGCTACAAAAGGGTCCATTGCTAGGAAACGTGTACTTTGGGATTAACACTAAAAGCAGTGTTTCGCCAGTGCAACGCCCTAAGAACTTATTTTGAAGTGATTTTGGTTTTTCTTATCAAGAACACATACATGGAAAAAATGACATTACAGTATATCAATTCTTCAATTCAGCTCTTAGGACCTATTTTTTTTGGTCATAGTTATCCAAAAGGTTGTGACAGGCACTTGAAATGAACAAGAAACGTAAGTGGCCTGCCCATTTTTTTTCCATGTGTGCAGACTGTGCACATCCTCAAGACGCACGAGAATATCCTTAGTGTACATGAACAAAGTCGGAAGTGTGTGTGTGAACTGATGAATGGCTGACAGGAAGTGTGTGTAGCGTTAATGATTCTCTTGTAAGGGACCCACCATAAAAATGACTGACACTCCTGATCCGTACCTCATTATTTGTCGTTACCTGAGCCCTGAGCAACTATGATGTCATTTTCAGTCGACACCTAGTGGCAAAATACGTTTTAAAGGTATTATGCATGTAAAATTATCAGGTTATCAAATTCACTATCGACAGAATATTAACTGTTTACTGCTGAAAATGGCTAAGTAAGCATTCCCTTAAAAATGTTTTTTTAAAATGTGATTAAAAAAACCTTAACATAAAAAAACTAAACTCCTAAAAACAAAACTAAGGCAATTTTAAACAATGCTCCATTCACCCCCAACTCCCCAAAACATTATTCTCCTCTTCCTATTGGCTGACACATTTAAGGATGAGCAGCCAATCCCAGTTGAAGGCTGACCATTGCTGGTGACCACCAAGTCAAGCAGTTCACCTGTTTATTGATCAGGTGAGCAAACAGCAGCAGGAAGTCACCCCACCCAGTGACCACGCCTTACAAAAATACAACAGAAGCATTTGTGTTGAAAATACTCCCCACATTTGAGTCTTTCTTGACTTCTTGTCTAAAGAACCAATCAAAACATCTCAACGCTGCTTGGCTGATCAACTCAATTTCCATTCATTGAAATTAGACTTCCAGTATTAATACACAGGTGGCGCTTCACAATAAAAGATAAAGTCTGATACTTTGTGTGTGTGTGTGCCTCAAATGACATGGAAAATGCTTGCTCCATGGATGTTGCATGTACTGTATGTCAAAAGTGTCTCAATACTCTTGGCATGTGACCAGTTGTCACATGAGCACTCTTTGGCTTCCAATCAAACACAGTTCATGGGGGGGGGGGGTTTAAAAAAAAACACTAGTTTCGTTTGGCATCACAGGTTAGAGCTCGTCAGTCAGACATGGCCGCCGCAGGGGTGAGGCTGTTGCCGCAGCAGCTCACGCTTGGAGCCTAGTCAGCTTCGTGCCCGTTGATGCGGCAGTATGCCCGGCGCCGATGCTCGGGCTGCAGGCAATAAGCCAGGGTAAGCTCCGCCTCCTGGCAGCGCCGCAGGAAACGGCCTCGGTCGCGCGCCACCTCCTCCCATGGTCCCCGACGGTCTTCCTTTTCGGCCGCGTCAGTGCCCGACGCGATGAAGAACTCCTCCACGACGTCACTGAAACGAACCTGAACAACACGGGAACACTTAACCCAGTGAAAGACTCAAGGCATGAATAAAGTACATCAGACACAGGAAGTGGCACTACATATTCAAATAAAATCTTGACCAGGAAGTAAAAGTTCTACAAAGTATAAAAAATAAAAATAAAATAAAAAATAATTAATTAAATAAACAAACAAATAAATAAATAAAAGAAAAGAAAAGAAAAGAAAAAAACACTAAGCTTTATGCTTTTGTCTTTGAAATATATATATCATCGTATCATAGCACAATACCGCTTTTATTGTCCATAGAACAATTGTCCATTGTCCATAAAAATAAAAATAAAATAAAAAAATAAATAAATAAATAAAAGGAAAAAAAAAAAAACACTAAGTGGTCATAGTACCTAAAATATCATATGACACCTTTACCTGGTGAAGTGGAAACAAGAAGGAAGTCATGCTCTCTCAGGAAGTGAGCTCGGATAACAAAATAAAAGTGTACCTTTTTGGCTGAGGTGAAAGGTCGTGTGAAGCCGCCGTCCATCCTGTCAGCGGCAGGCAGCTCCGTGGCCCTCGGGGGCGTAGACTGCGCTTTCCCGGTGCTGAGCGGAGCCTGGAAGTTGAGCAAACTGTACGGGTCAGAAGGGGTCAACGATGCCAGCAGGAGGAGGCTTTCTGGATCGTCTGCTTCGCCGCCGGAATCGTCCCACGCATCCTGACCCAAGGGGAGCAAGGAGGGCGACACGTTGGCAGTAGTAGCAACAGGAACGGGGCGGGGAGCGGCGCAGCCCGTGTGGAGCCGGGCACTGAAGTGTTGGGGGTTGTACGGGTCATCATGGCGACACAATGACGCCAGCAAACGCGCAGTCTCCTCGTCACCACCACCTTCCTCATCTTCATCGGACGAAGACCAGTCGGACGAGAGGTCAGACGAGCCTGAGCTATCGAAGCCGTCATCGTGGGCAGAGTCCGTGTCCGAATGGCTGTCATCATCGCTGCATGGGCAGCCCATGATGAAGGCGATGCCGACGTTACGGCACTGCGGCACCGCCATCCGAGTCACATGACTCGCCTCCATCTTATCGACCGTCGCATCATCGGGCGGGTTGTCCTCAGTCACGTCACCTTGCGAGTCCGTCCAATTCGTGGGCTTTACGTGCACGTCGCAGGGCGCTGCGGCTGACTGGCAGGTGTGACCCAATCCTATCTCATCGGCAGTTGTGTGACACTCAGCCATCATCTCATCAGGTGGGCATTCCTCAGACACCCGACCCACCTCAATCTTGTCGGCCATCCGATCAGGGAGTCTGTCCAGTATGGTGTGACCCGCCGCGTCCGTCTGCTTGACGTGCGCTTTGCAGAGCGCACCAGCAGAGCGGCACGTGTGACACTTGAGGCCGTGTTCCTCCTCCAGGCTGTAGTAGCCATTGTCCTGGTCGGTCGCCACCTCACCGCAGTTCTGGACGCCATCCGGGCCTGCATTGACCAACGCTTCCTCTTTGTGGACTGTCGCTCCAGCGCTTTCGGAACACAGGTTGCCAGAGACCAAAATACGACACTGCTCTTTTGTCAACTTTGAGCTTTGCGGGGCACAAAAGCCCTCATGGACTGATCGCAGGTCAGTATGGGACAAATCAAAGGACAGTGGGTCTCCTCCCCATAAGCCTCCCCACCGGCCCCTCATCCAGTCCTTACAGGAGCTCTGTGCGTCCCAAGCGAAGAAGGTACCAGAGGAAGACGCCTCGGAGTTCTGGCCAGGCTCAATTCCTAATTGGCGCAGGGACTGCTCGCTATCGCTGAGCCAAGACCAAGTGGACGCGCAAAGTTCTTCCTGGTCTTGGGCCACATCTACACGTGCCCCGCTGGGCTGCCACTTCGAGCCGGAGGTGGCGCCGCCTCCGCCGCCGAGGCCCGGAAGATATTTGGAGACGAAGGACAATGCGGGCCTGGACAACACCGAGAGCAAGCTGAGCCACGAGCTTTCCTGAGCAGCGAGGCCGGTGGAGGATGTGCGCAGGCCGGCAGAGGTGGCCAGGCTTCGCCCGCCTGGGAGTCCACCCTCGCTACTGACATTTTTGAACATGTTTTGCCCTCCAAGGAAAAAGTGACCAAATGCTTTAGTAGAATTGTCATACACACACAAACACAACACTAAAAAGTGGTCAGTTTCCAGAAGTTGGTAATGTGACAGCTGTGACGTCACACGGACAGCTCTTGAGTCCACGTTTGACTTCACTTGCTACTAAAAGTTTCCGCAATGGGAGAGTGTCCATCCTGGAGACATTCCGCTTACTCGGGCTGGTGAGCAGCCCAGCAGCAGTGAGGATTGGCGGGCACTCGGGGAAGTCGGACGGCAACGCGGCCGAGGTTGGCGGCGGCGCTTTGGCCGCTCGGCGGTCGCTGCTCCTTCGGCTTCGTTCTACACGACGATGCGCTAGCGGGGGGCGCACGAGGAACACCGGGGACCTGGCAAGACCGCATCCAAGCCATACTGCTCGTCTCCGGACGTCGAGCGGAGCGTACCGGTCCGGAAGCTCCTCCGGTCGGTTAGCTTAGCTTATTTTAGCTCAGTTTAGCAGCTCGCCAATGGCCAAAATTCCTCCGAAAAAGAAAGGGGGAAAAATACTGAACGTCACAAAACCGCATCCAAGCCATACTGCTCGTCTCCGGACGTCGAGCGGAGCGTACCGGTCCGGAAGCTCCTCCGGTCGGTTAGCTTAGCTTATTTTAGCTCAGTTTAGCAGCTCGCCAATGGCCAAAATTCCTCCGAAAAAGAAAGGGGGAAAAAATACTGAACGTCACAAAAATGTCTTCTGGCGTCGTCTACAGGTCCAAAACTCCCCGTTGAGGCGTTAATATTGACTTTCAGGGCAAAAGTTTGGCCTCCAACCGCGTTATTCGTTTCCGGTCGTCGACCAAAAGATTTCATCAGAAAAGTCAAGGGAACGTCTGACAATGACAGGCGAAAAAAAGCGGGTGGGGGAGGCAGGGACCGTCGCGGTGTTACACGAGCCGAGCACGCTGCTGGCTTGTTACGTAAGAACAAGACAAAATGTTCCTGAGTTATTTTTTCACATATCCGCCAAACCTTCTCGGATTCAGACGCAAAGTCGTTCACATTCAACTTCGTTTCCTTTTATTTCTATTGCACTCGGGGCAAAGGTCCCATCTTCACCTTTTTTTCTTTAGTTGCAAGAAATGACTAGAAAATAATTGTTGCGATTTGAGATTACTGCATTGAAAGACTTTTGACTCTCATATGCCATTTCAATGAAAAAAATGCAATTCAAGAGAGCAAGTTCTTGTCCTGTTTTTTAATGGATTTTGAAGGTCTCAATGGATTTACAAAGTCTCCATCTTGTCTGAGTTGTTGGTCTCGACCAAACCTCCTTCTCGGAAAGTGCCATCTTGAGCACAAGGCTTCAACGTACTGTATGTAGTGTACTAAGTTGATAAATAATGCAACTAGTTGATAAGAGCTGTATGTGTTGTGTTGCAAAGAGAAAATAAGCAAGTCAGCACATCAGCCTTCAGTTCAAGTTTATTTTCTAGTGCAAATCATACCAAGTGAAAGTTTCACATCAATGGAAATGCTTGTTGGATGTAAATGGCGAGTATGAAGTTACGTTACGCGTTTACATTCGGCTCAGCCTGTGACATCACTTCCTGGCACATAGCTTTTAATCCTCGCAGGTTTTAAAAGGTCAAATTTCACAGTCTGTATTTGTTTGAACAAAAACGCAAAAATAATGCCGCTGAGTCTGACGGCTATAAAAGTAGAAAATCACATCTGCAAAGAGGAATGAAATGAAAAGTTCAGTCACATGATGCTGGTCTGATTGCTGTGATCACCGCCTCCGTTTCCCACAATACATCTGTGATCGCACAACAACTGCAGCAAGAGAGGACAAGGAGGAGCTTCACTTGGGGCGTTGGCAATACAACTCGGAAGCCAACTGTACATGTGCCCTTGACTAGCATTCATTACCTATCCTACTAGTGCGCTCATTTGTCCATACCGTCGTAAGCTCTATCTTAACTCGTAAGACAATTCAGCACACCAGTAGAACTACCTGTGACTAATGAGGCAAAACCGTGCACTAGTTGACAAATGCATTTTACTACTGACATTACAAAAATTGTACTCATTAACATATAGCACTTCACAAGCAGAACTAGTATGATGCAATTGTCAACTAGAACAAGTTCTGCCTCACCTGTGACATATACAGTAGTCATTGTACAACTGCACCCTAAACATTCAACTAGTGCCCAGAAATGTAATACAGTCATGGAAGGTATTAGTGAACTAGTGGTATTAGTCGACTAGTGCATTGTGCACCCGAGTTGTCCAACTATTGCACAATAGTCATGTCTACTATTGCCCTGAAATGTTATACTGTACAGTAATGGAAAGCATTGGTGTGAGGGAAAAAAAAGGCCACTAGCAAGATGTTTGACTTCTACTCGTAGGGCTGGGTATCGATTCAGATTTCCAAAATCGATACAAATTACGATTCACATTTCACTTTTATTTGATTTTCGATTCAGTTCAGGATTTCACGCAGATTGGGCATGGTGGGTGTGTCACAGGTGTGGACGGGAGAATCGTCACTCCTTGGGGGGAAAAAAAGTGCCAACAGAAGAATATGGCCCCAAGTGCATAGTGCACCCTCGTACACCTTAATCCTTCTGCCAAGATGCCCAAGTTGTTTCTACTAGTGCACTCAAATGTTATACAGTAGTGGGAAAACATCACTAATACCCCCTTGTTACTAGACTTGTGTGGGCTATCCTACTAGTCCCCGCTAGTTGTTTCTTCAAGTGGGCCCTTGCCGTTCTACTAGTAAACACGAGATGTTCTACTACTGCACCCTGGTCATTCTACTAGTGCCTCCTAGTCACTTCAGTTAATGTTCCCTTGTTTTATTAGTGCATCCTTGTTGGCCTACTAGTGCACCCTGTTTGTTCTACTAGTTCGACCTAGTCACTCTACTAGTGTGCAGAAATGCCACAGAGTAGTGAAAGGCAACGGAGGAAACCTAGTGCAAAGAGCGTACTAGTTGGCAGACAACGGAGCACACGAGTAGGATATGGAGTAAGTGCCAAAAGGGCTTTTCCATGTGTGCTCTTGTTTTTCCAAAGTCAATGCGACATGTCCGCCATGAATCCATAGCATAGGAACTGTTTGCGCAAACACGTTGCACTTAATGCGGCGCGTCGGCACGGGCGGTCACCAGCGGGTGCCAGTCGACCCAGCGCTGACCCGGGACCAGTGTCCCGAGTGGGATGAAAGCCTCGCCCAACAGCGTGTTGTCCCAGAAGGCGCCGTCGGCCAGCACGCGCACGTGCACCAGGCGCTGCTGCAGGTCGCCACGCGGGATGCGCTCGTACACCAGCTGCAATGGCGATAAATATGAATTAGGGGTGGCATTGATTGGGCACATCTCAAGTCAGGATTCAATGTCCGCACTCCCTAGTGCAAACAAAAATAACACTGCTGATCATTTTAAATGATTGCAGTTCAACCGGTTTTCAGTTGGTACTTTGCTCTCCTGCATTCACCATTCCTGTTAAAACAATGCAAATTTCTCCAATGTGAATTTGAATTATTATGTATGCAGTGACGTGCTCCGTCATTTCCGGTCCTCAGTGGCTTTTTTCGATTATTCTGTTATTTTCTCCACAGTTATGAAGTTGCTTGGCATTTCGATTTTCAAACGTGAATTACTCTTTGATGTGCTCTAGAGAACGCAATCACTTATTTGGGTGTTTCCCGACTGCATTTTAATAGCTTAGCAATTAGTGTTGCTTTCTCCGTGTCCTGCCTCCATCCGTTTCCATTTGTCAGAACACGACTAGCAGAAGGGACACTTTCTGTTTGCCGTGCAAGCGATGATTTGTGACTTTTGCTAGCTAGACACCCAACGCAATGTAAGTTTTTGACTCTGTGTCATGATTAGCCACTTTAGCTATCCAGTTGCAGTTGGTAAGCGGTAACAAGCACTCCCAAATAGGAACAGCTGAAAATAGCGAAGTTGATGCGGGTGTACACTTTGGACATTTTTGTTATTTTCATGGGCAGTGCTTACAAAAGGGGATACGAAGATCTCATCAACATGCATTACCACAAGTGGACAGTGGGGTCCTAATCTACCAAATTCATACCTCATATTGAATATAGCGTCTTCACCACGCACGCACTCCTAATTCCATGTCATCCCATATTAAATTCTCCAGCATTTCATTTCATCTTCAGCTTTTCAGCATTCGACTGAAATTGTGTCATCATTTGTTTTTTTTTTTTTTTGTTTTGTTTTGTGACGATTCACGTGTACCATCTCGTTGTATGTTGGGTTACAGGTGCGTCGCGCCGCCTTGGTCTTCCTCTTGCTGGTCTTTTGCGGGTCCGGCAGGAGGTAGAGTTTCACATACGGGTCTGGGTCAGTACCATCCTGAAGTGACTGCTGCTGGCACACATGCACACACACAATCACATCAGTGCGCTAGTCCCTCCCCTCGCAAGAATGCACAACCGCAAGACGACGCACTGACCAGGCCTCGGATGTGCATGACCATGATGAAGAGTTTGTCGTTGCGGTAGCAGATTGACAGTTTGACCTCGCCCAGTTGTTTGCCTGAAGCCGGTGTCCATGCCATCTCTGTGTGCAAACACACGCGCACACACACACACACACACACACACACACACACACACACACACACACACACACAAAATGTCAAATCATTATTTGGCATTTTATTTTGAAAACAATTTTTAATATCACTAAGCAGCAACCCAAGGAAATACAAAATAGTATTAGTGGGGTGGGGGGCACACACACACACTCAAACAGTTATGTACATGCATGCAAAAATGTGCTCTGACTTAATCACCGGGTGCTGATCAATTAATTTTTATTTATATGCCTACCCATGCCAATGTTTAGTGGCTTGATCAATCATTTTTATTGGAAGCACAAGGACATCATGCAGTGGTCCAACGAGAAGAGCAAATTCTGAGGATCACACTGCACTTTAAACTCTGACTCACTGAAAGTGTGTGTGAGTGCATGTGTGTTTGCATGTAGGAACACGTGTTTGTATGGGTGCGTTTTTTTGTGTAGTTGACATGCACACCTGTTCTGCTGCTACTTGGGCCCGGTCGCTCGTCTCTGGGTAGAGGGTGGAAGAACGTGTACACCAGATCACACTGCAAATGCATGTGCACACACACACACACACACACACACACACACACACACACACACACACATAAAAAGCAGGGCGGATCAGCTTTGCGGTATCAGGTCTTTCCACTTTGAGCATGCATAAACAAGCAGAATATGATACTGTGTGTGTGTGTGTGTGTGTGTGTGTGTGTGTGTGTGTGTGTGTGTGTGTGTGTGCTCAGTGAAATGGAAACAGAATGTTCCAACATGGAGCTGAGGTGAGAGGTCAAGTGGTTTGTTGGCATATGCTAACATTTACACCTCCAAAATTTATGCTGTAAAAATGTGTAACATTTGGAAAGCTATCATTTAGAATGCTAACGCTCATGAGGCTAAACATGATGTTGCTCTCATTTATGATGTGAAAAGTCACAATAGAAACATTTACAATCTCAACATATACGCTGGGAACATTGCGTTTGTAATATTAGATGTTAATACTCATGGGCCTGCTAACATTCACGATACTTTATACATACATAAATATGATGTTTTATTCATACACATACATTTCTAAAGGTTCTGACTGCACACTTAACACACGTGGTCTGCGATCAATAACTGAAACTGCAAGCAACATTTTTGAGTCCAATTCAAAATACGTGTTTTGATGAAGCACTGCCTCTGGGTGGACACACAGGTGACACCTTAAAACCAAATCGTCAGTTTGTCCTTCCCGTTGCTTTCTTTAGGCCCCTTTCAAACGGGCCCGCGTGTCCTATGCGACCTGTCGTCTAACTGACCTGTGAGACATCCTGTGCGGCGTGGACCAGGTGCCACACGTAACCATTCAGCTCGTCTTTGCGCCGCTCCGCCGCCGCCTCGCCACGAGAACGGCCAATCACCAAGCGGCTGGGGAAGCTGGGGGCGGGATAAGCACCATTCTCATAATTGTGCAGGTGCAATGCTAATCGAATGTGGACACTCGCACACGTCCCTCCTGTTTGAATGTGTGTGTGTTTGTGTGTGTGTGTGTGTGTGTGTGTGTACCTGGGAAGCTTTGACGAGGGAAACATGAGCCTGAGTTTGCTGTGAAGTTCCTGAAACTCCTCAAATGTCCTCTGCACTAACTGCGCCTCCTGCTGGCCTTCACGCTCGACCTTCACTACGTAAGTCTAAAACACACGTGCGCAGCGTCACTGCGGCAACTGGGCGTATCCGGCGATAAGAAGGAACGCCACTGACGTGAGCTTTTCCGCCGGAGGTGCCGCGCGCATGCGCGCACACGTAGAGACTTCGGATGACGCCGTCGCTCTTGGCCGAGTGCACGCGAGGGGCGAACGACAGCGACGGCACGTCCTCGCCGCACGCGAACTTCATCTGCGCCAGATTGTGGATGAAGAAGTTCAGTTTGGTCGCCACGCTGCCCAGGCTTGACTCGATCAACCTAACGCCCACACACACACACACACACGTGTTCAAGGTTTACATTAGGTTCTGTTGTAACCATGTGCATTCATGCCTTATGTACTGATGACATCATAAACGTGCGCCTCGAGACACAAGTTGAATTTGTTCATTGACCACACTTGTATTCCAAATCGTCTTTCCACATTGAAATGAATGGAATTGCAATACATCCCTTCGGTCCCCCAAATAGTATACTGGCAAGCTAAACCCACTTTCTTTTTGCACAAAAGAAACGGGTCTTACACCGGCTCCCCACCCTTGACCGTGTCTCAACCTGGTTTCAAAATGAACCGTTCAGTCAAATTTGTTTATCTGCCGTGTCCTACTCTTTGTGAGCAACATCACTCTTTGGCGGCGAAAGTGCATCCTCATTTCTGTGGGCGTGCGTGCGCACCTGGTGAAGTACATGGTGGCGTCGGCCTCTGATTCGTGAGGCCTGAGAGCGTCGTAGACGTACTTGAGATCATCAATGTCTGACAGTTCGGGAATTCCACACGACAACATCTTTAAGACAAAAAAAAAAAAAAAAAAAAAAAAGGCAGACTGCTCACTCTTGTTCCATGCGTGCGTATGAGTGTAAATACACCTGTGTGTGCAGATGTGCAAGGATGCGCATGCATGTACGCACCAGGCCGAGGAGGTTGAGGAAAAGGTGTGCGTGCTTCCTGATGAGGTTGTAGGCTTCACAGCAAAGGTCCACAAAGTCATGGAAGCGACTGGATGGTTTGTCACCGCCATTGATTACGTACGCCATGTCGGACGTAAAGACAAAGGGAGCGCGGTCACTGCGGCCACACACACACACACACACACACACACTGCAATGAAAATTGTACTTTGAGAAAACCTGAAAAGTTGGGAAGGATTGGCTGCCCTACTCCAAAGAGAAACACAACTCATGATCAAAAGTTTTTACAATACAAACAATGTATTCAGCATTTAAAAGTATTGCAAAAAAATGTGTTGGTGATTACCGTTCATTCAACACTGGTTGTACATTTGTTCTTATCCAACGGTGAAATTTCAACAATAGTGTAACATCCCACAAGGGCGTGACGCAACTTGTTGGCTACAGATGAATGCCAAGCGCGGTTCCTTTGATCGCCACCTCTGTGGCTACTTTAGTTTTAACTTCATGTCAATTACAAGTCATTTATTGTATGACTCCAAGAATTGATTATTTTTATAATAGATGAAACAAATGATTCAAATTCAGTTCACGGTTTGGACCGCAACATGTTGATGAAAGCAGATGTTTACAAATGTTTTCATCGAACCCAAAAGATAAGATTCGGTCTGCTTTCATCAAGCACTGCAGGAATCGGACGAGATTTCCTTGTGTGAGGCTGAGATTAGAGGATACGTTCAACACTGTCCCAAAACAATAAAGCGACGATCAAAATAGTTTGGGAGCCTCTTTTTGGAGGAATTGCTCATGAGCTGCCAAACTGCTCAAGGTGGACTATGAAAATCATTCTGGATGAATTGAATGATCAATTTATCGATTCATTTTGACCTCTTAATTGAATAGTATTTCAAAAAAGGACAAGACCCTCGTGAGGATAAGCGGATTAGAAAATGGTTGGATCGATTTTTAATTTACTGTGTGCATTTATTTTGCTTGACTGGATTGCACCTTTGCAAGACTGTCAGTTGTGTTTGAACTTGGCCCCTAGAGGACGCTCACACAGCTTCAACTTTTGCTCACCGCTTGATGTTGCCGAACATCTGCGCGTGGCCCAAGAACTTGCCGAAGTCGATGTGGAACATGTGGCCGCTGGTCTTCAGCATAATGTTGTCGTTGTGCCGGTCGCAGATTCCCAAAACGTACGTGGCCACGCAGCAGCCCGCGCACGAATAGATGAAGTTCTCCACCGCCTGCCCACAACAAATGTCACATCGCATGGAGGGGTGTTACTCAGATAATCAATGGAATCAGCGATAGGATAATAAATTCTAAAAAGAATCATTCCGACATCACAAGAACAATTAATGACCTTCACTTATGTGAAGACACTGAGCACGTTCAGCATCTCACTCTAATGAAGCAACTTATAAAAACCATTACGCAACACTGATTTCTAAAACTCTCAGCGAGTTTTTCCCAAAAAATAAAAAGGTTCATAACTCGAGACACATGATGGCTGTTGCGCACCTTGTCGTACTGCTCATCAGCAGGGTTGTGCTTCTGCAGCCAGTCGGCCAGCGGTCGGTCTTTGAAGGATCCCGTCACGCCGTGCTCGACCTGGATCTTGCGTAGTGTGTCGGCCTGAGGGATCATCTCCACCATGCCTGAACGCAAAGACGCAAAGCCCATCAGTCGGCTGGCCGCAGGGTAACCCGGGCCGCTCGGCGACGGCCCCCTTCTCACCGCGGCCTCGCCCGGTGGAGAAGCACTTGAAGATGACCATCCTCATGTCCAGACCCTCCTGAAGCCAGATCTTGTTCATGATGCGTATCACCTGCAGTGTCAGCATGTCCTGACGCAGGTCGTCGCCTGACTGCAAAAGTAGGCAAAAAAATGGCTCGTGATGGCGACGATAAAAGGTTAAGGGAAGGGACCTGTAGTCTGACCTTGAAGATGACGCTAACATTATCACCCAGCGGGTCGACATTGCGGAAGGACAGCTTGAGCGGGACGGCGTTGGAGTTGAAGAAGGAGCACGCCTGCCGAGGTGGCCAGAGAGGGGGCGCTCAGTGACGTAGGCAAAGAGCACGCAAGCGCACGGGCCCGCTTGACTCACCGGGATGTCGATCCCCCGCACCAGCAGCGCCGGGTTGAGAGGAAGTCTGCAGCTGCTGTTGACTGAGAAGAAGCTCTTCATCTCCTCCAGACCTTCTCGCAGCACCGTCTGATGCACGCACGCAAACACAACAATGACAACAACAAACGTGGACCGGCTAATGAGATGATGACGACGATATTTTGTGTGGTAACAACAAATGTCACCTTTGACATGTACCGAGCATGTTGTTTTTTTTTTTTTAAATTTCAGACGAAAAGCCTCTAGAAGCTTTCAAATTTTGGCAAGATATTGTTGCCGTGGCGACATGCCATTCGCCAAAAAAGACAGAGCTGACAAAAAACGGAGCTCAGATGCTAATCTCTCATCAATATTTCATGCATTCAATGAAGTTCCAGAACTGAAAAGTTCAACAGACTTTTTTTTTTTTTTTTTTTGGTGATCATCGTCACACGCTCGCAGGGTAACATCAACGACATAGCGGACGCCTTGAGGCCGGGCATCGCCATCTGACCTGTCTGGCTGTAGGCGCGGCATCTCTGACACTCTGGGCCACCTTAGCCAAGATGGACACCATCCAGCACTGACGGTCAAGTTGCTCTCGGAGGCCGCGGCCCACGCAGCACAGCAGGGCGGCCAGCAGGTGCTGATAGCGAGCGCGGAACTGGCTGTCCTGCAGGTTGTCCTTCAGCAGCCTGATTGACGCACACAGGGACGGGACAAAGGGTTAAAAAAAAAAAAAGAAAGAAAGAAAAAAAGCCATGCTGTGGGTGAAAGCGACAAGGGCAAAAATCACCAGAAGAGGTAGTGAGCGACACTGAGGTCTCCGATGGCGCGCCGCAGCAGGAAGCGCACCAGCGAGCTGTCCAGGTAGCACTCGTACTTCACCGCCTCAACGAAACAACACCAGAAAAAAAATGCATCAAAAGGGCCTTTTTCTTCTTTCTTCAGATGAATTGGAAAAAATACATTTAAAGAATATAGATATATTTTTAAAACTAAAATAAAAAACATTTCATAAGTCATTCAAATGACAAGAGTATAAACAAAGCATTTACATAAAAACAAATAAACAAAATTAAAAAAATGAAGAAACTAATTCAAACTTAATTTCTTTAAAAATCAAAAGAATTCCAAAACATAATAAAATACATTTTAAAGAACAAAATAAATAAAATATACAATTATGAAATTCAAACTGAATATAATAAAATGAGAAAAAAAAAATCACAAAATAATGAAAAATGAACAAAATACATGATAGAAAAAATACAAATGAAGCCGATGAACCAAATGAATCAAATATACTGCAGATTAAAAAAACAAACAAAAAAAAACAGGATAAGCAAATCAGTCTGACGAATGAAAATAAATCAACCCTTTTCATGATTACTTTCCGAAAAATCAAAATAAATCAATCAACCCGAGTTGTTACGAGGTCTTACCTGCACAAGCTGAGGCAGGAAGTCGATGAGCTCGGCCTCGGAAATGGCGTCCATCCACTGGACGGCCGTCCTGCGTAGCTCCTGGTCCGGGAACCTGAAATCGTCATCATCATCATCATTGTCATTGCACATCGCCGCAATACCCGGCAGTCTGATACTCACGAGGCATGCAGCAGGCCCAGCGCATCCAGGTGGCCCGGGCAGGCCCACTGGCCCAGCAGTGCATAGATGTCTGGCAGGCAGGCCCACTGCCAACAGGGGGCGCTGGCCAGCACCAGCGGAAGCGCACCGCTCTCTGCCTGGCAGAAGGCCTTCTTCTCCCACACCGCGCGCTTGTCCTCCGCCGTCAGCCTGAAACGCACATGCAAAAGCGCTCGCCACCCATGTGCGTCCGTATGTGTGTCGGCAGGTCTCTTGTATCTTACCAGAAGAAGGCTTTCTTGTGCAGGATGTCCCGCAGCGCCACCTGGCTGCCAGCATCTAGTCTGGAGAAGTCGTACTGAGGGCAGAAGTCGGCGGCAGGCGGCGTGCTGAAGCGAATATCGCAGGCCGAGGATGGGAAGTCCACCTGCCAGCGAGAGCGTGAGCACGTGTGAGAAGTACATAGCGGGCAACGCGGCTTCCCTTGCCGACAGCTCCTCCCACCTGCAGGATGACGCTGTCCGGCTGGCTGAAGTTGGGCGAGCCGGAGTGGGCGTTGACGCTCCTCCCCGCCATAGAAGGCCAAAGGCCCAGCAACTTCCTGCCGCGCGTCAGCACGCTACACACGCCGCCGAAAATTAACACGCAGGCGGTGACACGACGCAGACGGGCTAAAAGGGATGGGAAGCCACTTACTGCCTGAAGTCAAAGAGCGGCATGGTGACCCAGCCCAGAGCCTCGGCGCTGCGCCGCTGCCTGCTCTTCTCATCGGCGCCACCGGGGGGCGGCAGGGAGCTGGCGTACAGCGTCACTGTCAGCTGCGTCTCTCGGGGAAGCTGGCTAATCTGCACCGGGAAAGTCACTCTGTGTGCGCAGGTGGGGCACAACCGGATGACAGACAATAAGGGGAGGGGAAAAGGGGCGACAAGTGCAGGTTAAAGCGATCATTACAGGTGAGAAGAAAACACAGACGTGACAGGTGAGGGATGACGTGGCAGCAGCAGGAAGGAGCGCTGAATAGGCGCAAGCTGCAAACACTTACCTCTGGTCCCACACCACCAGGTGGAAAAGGTATTTGCTGACCGACTGTTTGCTGGTGTGCTGGGGCGCGCAGAGCTCCACCCCTCCGTGACTCAGCGCGCACGACAGGAAGAATCCCTCGTAGCTGGCACACGCACACACAAAGGCGACACAGAAACATGTTCATGAATACTTGGTCGTGCCAGGCACCTTCACACCTCCTCAAAGGCAGTCAGGCAGCGGTCAGAGTTCAGGCCGGGTTCCCAGGCAGCCAGTCTTTTGTCATCCTAAAACAGATGAGTGCGTGACCACAGAGGGCGGAGCTTGGCCAGCATGTAAAACCTCCACACAAAGATGCTTGCCATTCTCTGGCTTTTCGCTTGTCACAAAATGTACAGTTTGGGAAAGGTATCGGTTCACGTTTCAAGATGGCGTCTGTTTTTTTAACTTACTGTTTGTCTGACAAAAGACAAAAGTTGTTGTGCGAGAGTGAATGCGTGTGCGCGCGCATGTGTGGGGAAGGGGAAGTTACCTGGCGGCCCAGGTGACGGGCACTCGGTGGGCGGCGTAGACGTTGAAGGAGAGCACGGCGGCGGCGTGTCCTGCCTCTTGGACAGGTGCAGCGCCCGGGTGGCTGTGCGGCGCCGTATGGAAGTTGGCATTGAAGGTGGCGCAGTACAGGTCCACCAGGTCCAAAATGGCCGCCGTCAGCTTCTCCACAACCTTTTCTGAGAGATGTCGAGTGAGGCAGATGAGACGCGCATGAGGACGAGTGGCAGGATGGATGTATGGACGGATAGATGCGGGCTTACCTCGGTTCTCCCGGATGGACAGCACGGAGGCATCCTGCGGGCGGAAAGGACGCTTTCAGTTGTGGGGTGGATGGCAGCAACTGAGACTGCGCCTTTTAATACGGTGTGCCGTGTGGTCGTGAAAATTCTAATTTCAAAGTTTAACCCTGTCTTAAAACCCAAAATTTAATCCTTAAATTTAAAGCCCTTCCTGAAGGCCAAATTTACAAGCTTAAAGCCGGCTTGAACCTTGTAAATTCCCAAATAACCAAAATGGGCATTTGCCGCCTGTGTTGTTTCGTGGCAACGTTTGCGGTGCGGCGCAAAGTGAAAGGGAAGCAGACCTTGAGGACTTTGGGCTGCAGGCGACAGGGACAAGCGGGCAGCCGGCCGAGCGCCGCCGTCACGTCCGGCGTCTCCACGGCCGCCAGCGAGCTGCATAGCGCCTTCACCGACTGGACCAACCGCTCCACACGTAGCGCGAGCTCCGCCTGCCAAGGACCAAACCGCAGACGAGTCAGTCCCGTGCCTGTCGCAGTTGTCGCAGTGGCGGCCGCCTTACCTCGGCCAGCGTAAATGATTCGGCCTCGTTGTGGAAGGTGTCCAGCAGCAGCGTCAGAGCCTCCCTGCGCACAAAACGTCAAAACACTACGCTCCAGCAACAGTTGTACTCTTCACACAGAAGGATTTTTTTTTTTCCTGGGACATGAATAGGAAAAATTAGGCATGGAACACTTTGTGTGGCAGCCTGTACGGTGCGTTCCAATAATCTCCACAAACAGTGCGTATTGCATATCATCAGTTATCGTCACTGTCAGGCGCAACGTCCACATCCCCCCCCCCACACAAATTTTGCACACCACTGGTCAGTCCCCAGTCAGGTCTGTTGTTTGGACTTTGGCCCATCTCACCCCCACCCCTGCCTGGTGCCTCTCACCTGGTGACCGTCTGTTTGATGGGTCGCTCCTGCAGCAGGATGCCGTGGTTCAACGTGGATGCCAGCTCGTCATCATCCTTCTGTTGTGTTCAAAACAAAAAAAAACATTCACAGTTTTGGACATCACGGCTCACCAACCTTTTGGAAAGCTACTTCTCGGTGACTTGTAACAGTCTTCCCTCACTTTTCCTCGGTCATACGTTCTATGATTACCCGCAAAAGGTGACTATGCGCAAAACAGATGTTGACTTTTTGCAGTGTAGGTGTTTTACACCTCTATTCAAACACCCCCACACTGTTTCCACCCTTCTGAAGATTACAAAATGAAAAATGCCGGCACTATAAATTCTTGGACGTCCAACGGAAGAAGAAAGCAACTAAGAAGAAGAGTAAGAACAGAAGCCAAGGCCACTCATATTTGGTTTCCACAACAAGGATTTACTGAACCAAAAGGTGCATGAACCCACCAGCATTGTACCTTTGAGCTACAACGCAATGCAGGATTCTGGTTAAAGTAAGCCATTTTAAACTAAAAAGAAAAATTTGAACATAGTTATTACATGGATGTTTCATCATCCTCGTGTGCTGCAGGAAGCAAAGCAAGTTGCGCTCACATTCACTTTTAACGCAGCACCTGTTTCCTTTCCTTGTTCTGCCTGACGCACTTGGTGGCGGTACTCATGTTTTGGGCCACTCTGAATAACCAAACAGTACATTTAGGCAGGGCCCCAGGAGTTTTTCTTCTCCCGGGGCTAAAGGGAGGCTTGACCGATACATAGGAGGGCAGAGGAAATAATTTATAAATATATTGTGTGCGTGTGTGTGCACGGACCGTGCGTGCCAGCTCTGTGTTGATGGAAGCTCTCTGAGTGAGGATCAGTCGAACGTCCCAGTCGAACTTCAAACAGTGTTGCACATACTCCAAACCTGCCAAAGTCTGACAGCTGCCACACGCACACAAACAAACAGATGTGCGTGCATAACAGGAACGTTGGAGGAAGAGAAGAAAAGAGAAGAAGAAGAAGATTGGACCAAGTGGAAAAGCAGCACGTCAAAAGCAAACAACAGGAAGTGTCTGACCCGCACGGAAGCTTCATATTGTTTCACAGCGACAAGTTCACGGCCAACGCTTATCGCAACACAACACACTTCCATCAATAAGCTCGTGCACGCACACAAAGAAACGAACTTTGAGACCTCATTGTGCTCAACTGTGTACAAAATTTGTGAAACATTTGTGTGTACATCGGAGTGCACGGCATCTGAAACATGCAAAGGAGTGTATACACAATTTGTTGACTGTCACTCTCCAATCTTCTCCAATCCATGATCCTAACGACTATTCCATCCAAGGCTCATGGAAGGTTGGAAGGATTTGCAGTCATTGGCGTTCATTCCAAAGTTACTGTGTCTGGTTGCAGTACATTATTTCCGCCAATAGAGGGAACCAATACAATGTGAAACGGCCATGACTAAGGACGTTTCCGGAGAGTGGAAATGTCTGTATGGATGACGTGCATGTTGTGACAACAAAGCATCGGGCCCAAATTATTTGTATCAACCTATTTTTGAAGAAGACGGCTAAAAAGAGCGCAAAAATAATCGACATGATCTCAAAAGTGTGTAGAAGAATGAGTACAGTGTGTACAGTGCCAAAAGTGCATACAGTGTAAAACGTGTGTTTAAAAAAAGTGTGAAAGCTTCTGCCTGAGTGGGTAATGAGTATAATAATAACTATAACAAGTAAAATAAAAGTTGTGAAAAATGACTACCGGTAAGTGAGGAGGAAGAGAGCAGTGAAAGTCACACTTCGACGGTGACACTGGAAAGCGCAATTAGGATTGTGAAGGAGCCAGTTTCGTACATTTGAACAAGCCGCAGTGACAGAACTTGAAATGTGTGTGTGTGTGTGTGTGTGTGTGTGCGTGTGTGTGTGTGTGTGTGTGTGTGTGTGTGCGTGTTGCGCTCTGGTGTGTACATGACCACAGCTCAGCCGCTGTTTGATATGATTGGAAAGAGCGCAGACCTCAATCTGTCAGCATGTTTTCCAAATGAAAGCTCTCACAATGCCTCAGCACAGACACGGGGCACGACGGTGCATGGTACGAACATAATGTTGGGCCTCATTGACTTATAACTTAGTCTGTATGTACACTCGGCATCCATTCCAAGTAATGATGTGAAGATGTTGAAGAATCAGAATTAATTCGAAATGACCGCATATTTGCATAAGACCTGCTTCCCTGTACATAGGCATCTCAGGCCATGTCAAAGGTTTATAAGATGCAAGAGATGGTACCAAACGTTCAGAAATTTCTCAATCTTTATCCTCTTTTGAAAAGGTTGGCATCATGATGAGTGGTGAAAAAGGCAGCTCATGTACTCCTAAAGCTACCATCGTTTGTATTTTGGGAGAATGGATTAGTTGAGAGGCTTTCAAGTGCATGCCTTAGGGAAACTCCCAGAAAGACTTCACATGCCGAACAAAGTGCTTACTTCTGGAGGTACTCGTCATGTCCGCACACCTTCAACAGGTAGTCATCCACATCCAGGTGGTCCAGGTCCTCGTGAGCATAGCACAGCGTCTGGTAGATAATCAGGTCCGCCGTGGAAGAGCCTAGCGCACACGCACAATGGTGAGCATGGGATGGCTGGGATGGGCGGGCGAGCGAGCGAGTGAGTGAGTGAGCAGGGCGAACCATCGCAGGTGAAGGTGAGCGGCTCTCTGAAGTGGGCGCTGACGACCGACACTTTGACGCTGAGGCCCGGGCCGCGATGGAGCTCCTCCTGGCCCACCCATGGAGACCAGACCAAACCGGCGTTCTTGGAGCGGTCGCTGTGCGGGTACGCCGAACGGAGCCTTGGCAAACACAAGTCGGTTCTCAGGTGCTGCGCGCATGACTTTAAATGGTTTAAAGACACAAAGTCTTTAAACAATTAAGGGACTGTCAAAATATGTATTCATTCATTGTTATATCTTTAACTGACTGTTTCATGAAAAAGTAATCATCAAAATTCCAGGTGATGATTCTTTTAACGAAAGGCCGCTAAAATCTGCTGAATAATTAGTAGACAGTAGAGAGGAAAAGGTGAGCCAGCAGAAGGGGGAGCCTGATCCCAACTTTCCCACCTACGCCTACAACTGCGCCAGGAAAAGCCCCGCGCGCATGCGCCAACCTTACTCACACGTCCAGCATATGGCAGAAAGCCGCCACCTCCTCGTCACGCTCCTCAGACACCTGGAAGAGTTCGTACCCGAAGCCGCTCGTCCGGGAGCCTGGCGTCACCTGTCAATCACACAGTCGTCAAGTTAAACGCGCGCCGCAACTTGATTGGCCGTTGAGTGGTGCGCACCTCTGTTGTTCCGCCCGCTCACGACAACACAACCACTTACTTGTGTGTGGCAGAGGCGACAACAACAGCAACTTGTGTACTCTTGTCAATTGTGTACTTGTGTTAGGCGCAAAGAACAGCAACACAACACTGTTCGTCCCTTATACGAGCAGACACAGGCGGGTCACGTGACCACTGATGAGTGGGGTGGAAAGGGGGCCACATGATATGGAAATGGGGAAAATGTGCTGTAAATACTTTCATGATCATCAGTATTAAATATTTGATCACTGGATATTTGGAAATCACACTTTTCTTTGGGGGGGGATTTGGCTGGGATGACAAAATGTTGTCAAAAACGTAATCAAAAACGTAGGTAATACGAAAATGGAGCTTTTCCTGTACAGTAAATAAAGGAATGATGCCACCTGTGTCATTTTGGGGCGCTGGCGTCTTACCGGGTCTGCTGATGCTCGGCGCTGGTTCTTGTTGCTCTTGGCGACGGGCAAGTAGGTCCTGGGCGGGACTTGGGGGGGGAGGGTGTTGCTCCGCGCCACGGGCTTCCCGGGTCCGTCGCGCCGGCCGCTGTTGAGGCGGGCTAGCGAGTCATTGATGATGTCGTAGTCGAGCTCAACCGAGAGGACTTTGGGCAAGTCCGCATCAGGTGTGTACACATTGACATCATGGGTCGCCGCGGGTGCTCTGACCGGCAAGAAGGGATTCTCTGACCCCGATGATGAAGACGCCGGCGGCGGCGGTGGGATGGGGTTCCGCGGTGGGATGGCAGGGGGGGTGTCGTCAGGAAAAGTTTGGAAACTTTTGGGGAGGAGTTTGGCATCTGCGGTGCTCCGCTTGGTCAGCCCGGGGCCGTCGAGGATGTAGAGGTGCCCCCCCTGGGAAGGGGGCGCCCCGGCGGGAAGGGCCGGTACGGAGCAGGGACCTCCGGCTCGGTGGAAGGAAGAGTCAGATGGGGTTGGCTCCCCGGACGTTTGTGCGTCAGGGGCGTTTTTGTCCCGCTTGAGCCTGGAGAGGGCGTCGTACTCCATCTGCAAGGCTTCAGCCAGGACAAGCTCCTTCTGACTCAGTCCCAGAGACTCCAGGCAGGCCCAGCTCCCACCCCCGCCTTCGCCCCCACCACCGCCGCCGCCCTCCTTCTGGGTCTGCGCCGCTGACATGACGCAAACGTGGCAATCCGCTAACAGAACACACAACAACAATTCAATAGCAATATGTCGCGTGATACACACATGATCAACACTAATACAAAATGCGTTTCATAGCTCTTGGATATAAAAACAATATATCAATCAGGAAGGAAATGCAGAGCCCGGCATTCTGCATGCTGTAGATAGAGCCTGTAGCATGGCGTTAGATTTGTGTTACAATGACCAAAGAGGAAATGTGGAGCATCAAGCATGTTTTGAGCGCAGCCGAGTGGCCGAATGCCCACCCGAAGAAAAAAGCCACTTGAACCTACTGCTTATGTATGTATATAGTATATGTACTGAATTGTCCCCTAGGTGTGATTGTGAGCGCGAATGGTTGTTCGTCTCTGTGCCCTGCAATTGGCTGGCAACCACTTTGGGGTCTACTCCGCCTATTGCCTGAAGGCAGCAGGGATAGGCTCCAACACACTCGTGACCCTCGTGAGGATCATTGTTGTATTGAGTGTCTGATGAAGTTCTGGTCAAATCAGGCTAAATGCTGAATGTAAAGTCAATCAAAGTTAACATGCAGTAACTGAACAAAGTTTGCACGATTTGTAGTGCAAGCAGGGATGGAAAAATACTCAAAAGATGACGTGGATGCCGTCGGCCCAAGTGAAATACAGACAGCACCAAGCAGCAACTTGTAAATTCTTTTTGTTTCTCCTCCCTCCAGCACGAAGGTAGGAAGGAAGGAAGGAAGGAAAGGTGCAAAACAAAAGAGTGGCGCTCTCCCAAAATCCATCTGGAAAAAAAAATACTCCAAGAGAAAACAGCAGCTGACTTATTTTTTTGAGGGACATCCTGAGCACGTCACAGTCACCTGAAATGAACTCGCCAGTCGTCATTTTACATGTCATAATCTCAGCGCAGTACATACAATAAGAAGAGGAAAACTAGCACTCTCTAATGTTGAACTTTATCAAATCATACTTTAACAACAAAATGAATAAGAATTAAACCATTTGTGTCATTACAACAATTAAATGACTTCCGGTGTCCGCAGTGTGGCAACATGGGGGCAAAAGGGGCTTGCCTAACAGTCAAAGAACGCTCATTCCACAGTTTTGGAGATGTCTCAACTCCTTGCAGCTCATCAGTATGGCACTAATGCTAGTCGTTCTTCCCGGAGGATAAAGAATGTCTTATGAATTGTTATGTTGTCTAGCCACACTTTTTATGTTCAATCTGATGTGTAAAGGGTTTTAATAGCACAACATAGATGCTATTTAGTGTTTGCATTGAGTAAAAGGCTCAGTTAAAGAAAGAGTGTCATTCTCTTTGCTTTCTGTTTAGTTTGAGAGTAAACTTTAGATGGGAGTCAATTGTTTGGTTACGTTTATCTTTGATGGGAGACAAGTGAACAGGCAACAACCAATGCAGCTACCATGATGTGTGTGTGTGTGTGTGTGTGTGTGTGTGTGTGTGTGTGTGTGTGTGTTTATGCATTTAAGTGGGTCACAGCTGCTTTTATAAAAGGAAGCCCCTCCCCCTCTGGTGACGATAACACCCCTCCCGCCGCCATGTTTGACATGGACAATGACTGGCTAGCCACCATCAGCACGCGTGTGTGAGTGTGTGTGTGTGTGTGTGTGTGTGTGTGTGTGTGTGTCTGTGTGTGTGTGTGTGTGTGTCACATGGTGGAAGTCAGACTTTGGCCCCCGGGAGTCATAAAAGAAGGCTAAATCTCAACCTTTCAGACACACAAACACACGCACATGTCACACAAAACAAATCTTTGCAAAAAACACACATGTACAGAAACATGCTTTACTCACACACACACACACACACACACAGTTCAGTTCTAGTAATGGGGCCATTTGACATAAACGTCCTCATGTGAAGAGTGAATGACAGGTGAAAAAACGTGCTGATGTCATCGTCACTAATGTGTGCGTCTCCTTGGAAACGCACTCTGGTCCCTCAGTGGAGCTGAATCAGCAACCGCCACCATATGAACGCTTCTGATTGGCCGCTTCAATATACGATCCCATAGGAAGGAACAACATTCAGGTTACAACATGACTGCTTTACACACACACACACACACACACACACACACACACACACACACACACGAACACACACGCATGCGCGCGCGCGGACTGCATCAGTCCAATACTGACGATGACGTCAAAATTTTCTCACACTTTCGGGCTCTATCAAAGTTTTATAGGCACACAACAGCAATGACGTCATACCTTTTGAATACGTAATCATATTGAACATGACGGTGGGGTGGCCGAAGTATAAATCAGGTTTGGACATCCGCATTGTATTTTTTTAAAAAAACAAACAAGGAAACATACAAAAAGAGACACCTGCGCCACAGTCCATTGACAAAAATCGTGATTTGAACACAGCCCGTTGATTTGCTCGACCAGAAAGGATTTCCACTAACTTCACCCAGTACAGCACTCTGCGGTGGCTTTACAGTTTTACACGGATTTGTATTTAAACGTTTGCTAACAATTGGATTGCAATGTTTTGCACGTTTCCAAAATGTCAAGTGATTCTGCGCTCGAAGAGTTTACTGCGGAGGGCGGCGGCGAAAGCGGCAGCACGACCCACTTTTCATCCTCATATCTTTACTGCTAAATTCATTTTAGGAGGATTATATTCACGACGATGTTTTCACGTAGTCCTTAATCCGACTTTCAATCTAACAATCATAATCCATGTGGTCGCTACCAGTCGCAAAATTCCAGCTTGTTTCAATTGAGCGAGTTTTTAATGCAGTTTGATGTGAGCGCTCGTCGTCGGGACAGTCGCGAGTTGACCGAGCCAGCGTGTCAAAAGGTGAAAAGTGTGCATGCTAATCCGTGCTAACCCATGCTAACGTGCTAAATTAGCGATTAAACTGATTTTGACCTACCTGGGTGGCTGCCTGGCGGCCCGCAGCCGGTTCACCGTACCCGGCGTCGTTGGGCGGCGGAATGAGCCCTCTTCATAGGAAGGAAAAAAATAAAAATCCCAATCCCATCCGAGTGAACGAATGAAGAATTTATGATGGACCAGCGGGTTAATCCTGGTGCGGTTCTTTCAAGTGCCAGTGGTGGCTGGCAGGCTGGGGCGAACAATGCGGCAGCGGCGGAAGTCTCGCGGCTCCCCGGGAGGCTCGGAGCCAGGCCACACCGACCACAACACACCGCCGGAGGAGCTTTTTTTTTTTTTTTTTTTTTTTTTTTGGACTCCTCGCCTCCTCTGAACAAGTGGCATCCAGTTCAATCTGAAACGAAACGTGTCGTTTCCATATTTTTTTCAAAGTAAAAGTTATTAAAGAGTTGATAGTTGCGTTCAAATGATTTGACTCCCAAATATTTGAGTCGCTTTGGTGAATGCTCGTATTTTCGCTGTTTAACTGTAGCCGAGACATTTTTAATTTGAATGATAATTTAATATCACTTGTACTTCCGGTTACGTTCATTCCAGTGCTTGACTATTAGAGGGACTGCGAAAGAATAATGTCAAATAGTGACATCTAGCGGCCGTGGAATTCTAATTCCAGTCCCCTATAACGATGAGAATCAGCGTGAAGATAAACATTTTCAAAAATTTTACATTAAAGCTGCCGATGAATTTAAGAATGGGACGTTAAGAATTTTAAATCTGTTGTACATATTTGTAAAAGATGGTTTGTATGTGTTACAAATATTTTAAAATATTTTTTTACTGTGCACTGCGATTTACTGGCGACCAGTTCAGGGCGTAGTATCCCTTTCGCCCTGAGTCATCTTGGATAGGCGGGGACTGCTTGTTTTTAAGATGTGCTGAATGTAGTCATAAAAAACACATTAAATCACTTTTGAGTGTTTAGTGCTGACATCAGTTTTACATACAAAGCTATTACTGGACATAAGTGCCAATGTTCAGCCCAATCAATGGTCCCTTGAAACACCAATAATAGTCATTAATAACAGAAAGTTGTGCGATTGATTAGCTTTAAAATATTTACCACTTGACAGCACTAATAAATATGTATAAATTACATATGGCACCCATATATCCATCCATCCACTTTCTAATCCATTTATCCGCACAAGAGCCGCGGGCATGCCAGAGCCTATCCCAGCTGTTTTTGGGCAGTAGGCCCTGAACCGATATGTACATGTGTATGAATACAAAATAAATACTGCATATGTGTGTATATATATTAGTATATGAAGAACATAATAATAAGAATGTAATTATATTAGAAATATATAGAGAATGTTTCGAAGATATGAGCATAGAAATGAAGCTTGACAACAGTGTGATTAGTCTTTTACTATAATCATCAGACATGATTGTGATCTGTGGACATTTATTTATTAAAAATAACATCAACAACAAAGGAGGCTTTTCAGATGAAGATGAAGCAAGCATATGATGTCATCACGATGACAGCATAATTCAGCAATACTTGAAACAATGACATGATCTTTATTTCATTGCAACGTATTATTGTATTGAATCAACACAATTTGGATTCATGGCTTAAAAATCAAGCAGTGTTGAGGTCATTCAAATCTGGTAGTTTTGTCATTGCGGTTGTTTAAAAAGAAACTAAATTATTCACATTACAACATGAATGAATGTCTCCTAAGTCTCCAAACTGTCAACGTGTGAATTGAAGGGTCAATCCATTGTTGGGCTACAGTCGCCCTGACAATGACCAGTCCATCGGTTGCCAATATATGCCCTGCCACTGAATGGGCAAACATAGTTTCTCATGTATGGTGACCAGTCCAGGATCAGATGGCATAGCCTCAGGCAAAGCCTGGTGATAACGAGTCCTTTGCAAAACAGAGCAATGTCTTCTTGTCATTCTGCAAGTCCTTCAGCAGAGTGCCACCTCCAAACCCCTCCACACCGCCCTCGACAACATTCGTCACCATGTGACCGTGCTGCTACTGGGCATGCTTTCTCACACGACGTGTCCTTCAACAACATCGGAAGGCAGGAGCGACAAGAGTACGTCGTCACTTGTCCTCATTTGGTCTTTGTCAAAGTGTCTCCAAACCGTGCGTGCGTTTGTGCGGGTGTGCATGAATGCGATTGTACGTGCACGTGAGGGACCTGACTTTAGACTTGCTTCTCCTCTTTGCCAGCATACGACGTCCTCCTCAGGTTCTCTTTGACTTTGACAAACTCCGGAGCAGCCAGCTTGTCTCGCTCGTCCTTTTGCTGCTCCAGCTCCATCTGGAACAACGCAAAGCAGCATCGACGTCAAGCCGTGAACCGCGTTGTAGTTGAAAGTTAACTTTCACCCTCAGGTCTCGATGGATTTGACTCCAGATTAGCTTGAGATTTTTTACCTTTCTTTTACTGGATAAAGTTTGTTGACTAATATGATTTCTTTTCATAAGTACATTGAGTCATCATTTTTGAACCCTTCCGATTCATTTGCTGGAATAACCCACAGATTGGAAAACAAGCTCAAAAATGGCATTTTGATATAAGTAGCACCTTAAGACTGCTGTCTGCCTGTCTTCTTGTTCCTGTTGTGAAATTGTTATCCATGGTCAGCGGGCGCCATCGCATTTCATATTCATTTGCTCCCTTGGAGTGCAGTAAACTATTACACGCCTCTTTTGCAAACTAAGAATAGCACAAGGAAGTGGTTTGTGGAAGAAAAGCAACTTTTTGCAAATGTTCAATCTAGAATGAAAAGCCATTTCAAGGGATTCAATTGTATAAATACTGATACAATTCAGAAATGTAACTTTCCAGTTGGTCAAAAGTGAGCCCAACAAAGGAACAGGTACAATTTGCTATAAAGAGAACATAGTGGTCCCTTGAGATGCAAGTGGCATGCTTGCGCGTGTTTCCAGAAACAAGACGTCACGTGACCAATTTTTCTTCTTGAGACTGGAACCAACTTTGAGACAAGTGCGCTTCAAATCCCCACCGCTAGACGGCACCAAAACGCTTGACAACGTCCCATGAGGCGTGATGAGCTATGACATGTACGACCCATGCACCTCCTGAATGCAATTTCTCTTCATAAAACAATTTGAGAGGAAGCAGATAAGCTCGATCGAACGTCAGGGAGGCATCCCCTGGCAAGTCCCACCGGTAGGAAGCCCCGCAGATGACCCAAGACACGCTGGAAGACCCAGCAAGTATATATGGGTGTGGGTTTTTTTTTTCTTTTGTTAGTTTCTGCTTACCTCTTCGAGCGCTTGGTGCCTCTTCCTGAGTTCGGCTTCCAGTGGCGAAATCTTCCTCCGTGCTTCCTCTTGCTTTTTCCTTTCCTTAATCAGCTGATCGCGCCGCCGACACTCCAGTACACGCTCAAGCTCCGGCTTGTTGCTTTCCACACGCACGCCCCCGCCGCTTCTATGCACACACACACACACACACACACACACACACACACACACACACACACACACACACACACACACACACACACAAATACCCATAAATAATACCAAATAAATAATACACGAACAAGTACAGGGAGTGTAATATACATTTCTTCCAGCAGAGGGCAGCATCCTAAAGATATCTCAAATGTGATTGCATCCCTTGAGGCAATGAAGAATCCCGACCAAGGACGTCAAATCCCCAACAGTCTTAGGTCTTATAAGATGATATGATGTGAGATGTGTGATGAGTGGGCCCAACAATTATCTGAGCACTCCACATAAAATACGATCTGTACTGTATACTGTTAAATGCCCAGTTTCTTTATGTGTGGGGTCTGACAATGATAAAAAAAGCTTTTAAGATTTGAAAAATCCTTGTGTGTTCCCGGCCTTTGCTATAAAAGCCGAGGTGCGGACAAACGCATGGACAAATGGATGCAACAGCGGGCGGATGTACAGATGGATGGATGAAAAGTATATTTTCATTACCGTTTACAGCTGGTCATCAGTTCTCTGTGGAGCTCTTGGTGACTTCGGGAACTTTTGACGGGATTGAGGAGCTTCCTGGGCTTGATGAGGTCATCGTGACGGGGGCCGTGGATGTCCGTCAAGTAGTCAGGGGGCGGCGGCACATAGCAGGAAACGGTGGGCGCCATTCTTCTCTGATGAGGCTGCAGCTCGCCATACGCCGAAGCTGCACAACAAAGAGGAATACTGTAGTCCAGTGGAATAGTCCATTGCATGAGAAGGTAGGTAGTAATAGGCTCCGCCTCCCGTGTGCCTTCCCATGGTTTGCTTTTTGCTGCCGCGCTTGCAGGGGGCGCACGGAGCAGCAGCTGAAAGTGTTGTGGAGACAAAGCAGTCGATTAGAGGTCATGTGAGCCGTGTCGTCCGTCGTCTTTGGCTACATACGGATCCTGTTTCCTCACACACGTGCGCACGCACACAAGCACGGGTGTCTTTCTTTTATGAAAGCAGACACCGTCTGCAGCCACATTCATCATCCCCAAAAATGGAAGCACAAGAGAAACATGACCGTGTGCGTGTGTGTGTGTGGGTAGACACTGAGGTTTGTCCCAAATCATTTTTCCTCATTCAAATGAATAGAAATGCAATTGATCCGTTCCAACACCCCAAATTATTTTTGCCTGTTTTTTTCATGAGAAATATTACAGTTAACTGTCTTGTCGTGTCTAAAAACACAAGTGATGGTCAAATGAAACTGATACGTCAAAACTTGTTTCAGACTTCCTGAATCACACTGCTTGGTGTGCTCCAAAGCACCATTTGCTTTGAAGCTTGTATTGTTTTGTATATTACATGACTGATGATGGTGGAAATGTCATCCATCACAGCGCAGATTGCTTCGGTGGATGCCATTGGTTTCACGGGTTGTTTTGGTGGAAACTTATGTAATAACCGCCAAACTAATGAGAAAAATGTTTTTTTGCGCCTGAAATTTAAGTATGACTGAACATTTGACATTTTACTGACAGGTTCCTTTGACTTATTTCATCTACTAGATGTTCCTAAAGTGGCTTTTACACACGTACCAAAGCTCCAAATGACAATTTGAAGGAAAGCCCTCAACACTTCATGACGCTTCAGCCGCACAGCTCTAAAAAAAACACATTTGCTCTCCACACCACCTAAAAACAGGGAAAATACAAAACACTACTCTATCTAATGGCAATCCATTAAATCCTTTCTTCTTCTTCTTCTTCTTCTTCTTCTTCTTCTTCTTCTTCTTCTTCTTCTTCTTCTTCTTCTTCTGTGGTATTGGCAGGTGTCAAACCAGTTTAATGGTAGGTTAGCGCCACCCACTGATATTTCTCTTCC